AATTTTTTTTATCAAATTTCAGAAATTTCAGACATGAGATCCCTAATTCTAGGCTGTGTATACACAGCTGAAAACACTCAAAAAGTGCTGTTTCCGGCCATCTGGGGGCCTTTTAGATTCCAAAAATTTTCTGGTACGCTCCGCGCCAACCGATGGTGCCGCTCCGCTTAGATAGTCCTGCCGGCACTAAAACCATCCTGGGCAGAACCCTGCACTGTACATGTGCATGTATTAGCCATTGGAAAGTGGAAACAAGTCAATATAAGTTCAATTTCAGAAGGAAAAAAACAAGTCGTGTACTTTGAAAACACTCAGAATTTTTTAGACCAGTCTCATAGGGTTTGTGACAGGATGTCAAGTGGCGTAGGTACATGTACATGTATATGGAACTCTTTCCAAAAACAAAAAACAAACAAGGCCAAATATGACAAACAAACAAAACTACCCAACATGCCCAAGCCAAAAATACGGAAAGGGTTCCATCAGCCATTACAGCTTCAACTTTTGATCACCTAAAACAGCTTGTCCCACAGACTAATTTAGTCTTAGGCTACAACAGTTTCTTTTGTAGTTTATGGGGCAACTGGTGCAAACATCTTGGAATTTCACAAAATTGCGGGTAGCAACCACACCGCGCCGATGAAAACAACTGCAACAAGGGCGCGCACATAAAACAAAAGATTGCGTAACCCAATCTTTGGAATCAACTGGCTGGTGCGTGCATACGTTGCCATGGTCGCTGTTTTCACCAGCGCTGTACCTGCACTTTTGCGAGAATCCCGGATGTCCTCGCTGTCCCATACTCAAATCAGAATTGCCAATGCTGAATCAATAAATGACATGAACACCCTGAACATGATGTGGACTTGGCTGGCCAACATGGCCAATTATTAATTAATGACCACATGATGCATGTACTGTCATGCATGTATCATGACCTTTGATCATGTTGATACATGTACATGTAGACTGTTTTCTAGACTTGGACACGTTGGTTGATGAACCGCACAGGATTGAGGACGAATTTTCATGGTCTATAGCCTCGGTGGTAACACCAGCAAGAAGATCAAACTCAACCACGTCAACCATGACATGTCAACTGTCCCTTCAATGACTCAGACTCAGTCATGTCACGGCGAGTAAATGTACGTGGTTGCTGCAAGCGGAAGTCTTGATAAAAAGGAAAACAATTTTAATAATACAAGGAAAAAGAGAAAAAAAACGAAGGCCTTCAATTTTTCAAACCCATACTTACATCTCCATTGCTGATGTTGATTCCCAAGTATATGTCGCCAAATGATCCGCTGCCAATTTTCCTCACTAGTCTGTACTTTCCGCCCACTATAAACTCAGATTTTGTTGTGGATCCCGAGGTGCATGCCATTGTGTTAACTCAAGTGGCTAGTATATTTCTACATATGGTAAACTGTCACATTTCTCGTGGAATAATGAGGGGAAAACATATGTTTTCAGAAACTACTTTAACAGTCATGAAGGAAACGCTCGAGCGTTCTTTACGCAGCCGACTGCCAGGTTTCCATGATTCATTTTGTGATTGTTTTGTGTTGGTGCTCCTATCGATACTACTTCCAAATCAATATTTCGAATTCCATTATCGAAAGTCTCCCTGCTCACAATCGGTGACACTTGCTAGAAAAATATTCTGAATCAAAAATCCGATTGACTACAAACACTGCATGTAATAGATTAGTTTAATTTAATAACTAAGCCAACAAAGTTTTGAAAGAGATTTCGAAGGAAATGATCAGCAAAGAGCATCGATACTCTACGTATAAATTGGGTATCGTTTCTATCGAAATGTACGCATTCCATCCACGTAGTCCTAACACGTACACACTTTGCCACTTGGTTACCAGTGCACGGTACCAGCAGCACTGTCGCTATTCGTCGTTTGTTTATGCTATGCCAAGGCCATGTCGCGTCGCGGATTGTTCCCCCCCCCATAATTAAGAAAATAATAGAACTGTTTTGAAACTAAACATTTTGCAGGCGCACTCTCGAAAACCGAACCCCTCCTTTGAATATCCAGTGGCTACTGCTCTGTGAGAGGGCATGTGGCGCCCTCCTCAGAGACAGAATTTGAGAAGATAATGCTTTGACCAAACCCACTACAGTCAAACCTTGTTAAATAAAAGGTCCTCCGGACTTGGCAAATTACCTTGTAACAGGAACCTTGTATTATCGGGAAAAAACAATGAAAAACAAAGGATTGAGACCTCAAAATTATCCTTGTTCTAAGTAGAAATCTTGTATTAACAATGCTCTTATGTTGACGAGATTCGACTACCATGAAGCCACAATTTACGCGACAAACACGGTCAACACATTTTTTCCTACCCTCTCCAGGGCTATTTTATTTCACATTTATAAACAACTCTGCCCTCAATCTCAACAGAAAATTCTCATGTCTCCAGAAAGCTAAAATACTAGGAACCCTGAAAAAAAAATAAAAACCTAGAAATCTGGCTACGGAGGACTGGTACCGACTGCGCATTTTAGAAGTTCCAACATGAGAATTTTCCATGTTGTCAGATTGCATGGCTTGGCATTCGTGACAGTGTACATGGTATTTACACATCTTTCATGTGTTCTTGTGCAGCAATAAAAACCAAAACAAGAAATGCGAGACCTAGCACACAGTTGACGACAAAAATACTTGAATAAAAACATCGAAAGAAATTCTGGCTAGCATAAATTAGACAATTAAGAGAATAATTTACACCTATGGATCTTTCTTTGCTATCTATATGCCAAAATGAGAGGCAGTGCATACAGGAGAATCAGATGAACAAAATCAGTTTACCCACCAGTAATGAGTGTTCACTGGCATACAGCCATGTAATTCTCCAACATGCTGACTTTTCACTAATTAGTGATGTATGCTGAATAATAGGCACATGTTCAAGTAACCAGTTTTACTGCATTATTTGGCTTAATGCTGAACTTACACCGCTTAATTTCATCAGTGATCTACATCTTCAAATAAATGAAACTTAACAAGAAACTTGGAAACCCTACAGTTCATTCATGATGTCCAATTCAAGGGAACATGTGCTTCTTTACATAAAAATGCAAATGAAAATTGATCCTACTGATCCAACTGAAAATTGATGAAGATGTACTGCGGAAAACTAGCTTCTTTAAACATGAATACAAACTGCAGATAAGTACAAACTGGCACAGACAACAGTACAGACTACTCCCGTGACCAAAATTAGAGGTTATCATGGCGGTAATATCACACTGAATCACTTATGTCCAGGATCTGCACTCCTCAAAATGCACATCTCCCTCAGGTTCAAGAGGACCCAAGGGAGGGGAAGAGGCCAACAGGGGACCACGACCGACCCCCAAAGAAAATGTCTGTTGTGGATTCGTTCGCTTCCCTTCCTTCCTGCGAGCATACAGAGTCCCCATATCTAGCCTAGAACCTCAAAATTCCAAATGTTTTGTCCCCCTCCCAAGAAAAAGTTGTTCCCATCTCCAATTTATTTTTGATCAGCCCTTGACCAGAGTGTGAGGCCACCATGGTAATGACATCTCAGTGAGTTAGTCTACAGCTTCATCTGACTGGCCCATGTTTCTGTGAATGTATTTCACGAAGTGTGTTCTCGTTTTGCAATATAAATTTCACCTCTGTGCAAGAGGCTCCTCCATGTTTGCCTGTTGGAAATGAGACAGAAATAACAACTAATAAGCTGTAAAAGAACTCTGTTCACGCATTTTTAAAAGCTCTAAACTGTTCACCGCTCAGTTGAGCATCTCACAGATACAGTGCAAAGGCCCTCCCTGAACTCAGTTGACAAAAAAAAATATATATATATGTGAAATCTGTATGGTGCATATACGTGTACTTGCATTCAAAGCATTACCCATCAGAATCGACTGAAAATATTCACTCCGTGAGGAACTGTGAAGAATTATCAATCAAACAGGTTAATTGCCATAAGTCATTAATGATATTGCAACCTATATCTTTTTTCGTGCTCAACTCATTTTGGCAACCCATGACGGTCTTGCTATTTAGCGTTAACACAAACAACTAGTGTCAACAAAACGTCAACAACTTGAAAACACCCTCTAAAGATTTAAAAGTGGTTTTATCATAATTTATAGACTCTAAGACCTGGCACTGTGTAAGAGAAACATTAAATTCGCTTCCAGATTTATGCAAAAAACGAAACTTTTTCGTGATGTATGGAGGCCGCCATCTTCCCTTACAAGATAGCGGCTAGTCAGACTTCACAAGTAGGCCCGAATTTATCGCTCAAATTTCCACACTCAGAAAATCCTTTTACATTGATACATTGAATCTGACAAGTATGAGCCTTACTAATATTGCAAATGTAAAATATTTTCATAAAAATGCTCAAATATTTTGTTGACGCTCTGTTGACACTTGTTAACGCTAAATAGCATGACCCCCCCATGATAAAAGCTTCAGAGACTGTTATCCACACACACCAGAAACAAAATAAAATGATCAACTGTCCTTGACCAGTGGAAACACTGAAACTCCAATTGTGTACAAGTATACAAGTTTATAAAATGTCAGAATCTGGTAAAATGTGCTGCACAAGATGATCTCGTTTCCTGATATCTTTCAGCCTCCTAAAAATCACAAAATGGTCTCTTCATCTCTAGTCTAAAATCCTCACTGTGGAGACATGATCATTCTATCAATAAATTAATTCAACTTGCAAAGTATCACTATCCACACTTGTTCGGGTTTGTATTAAACTATCAAGCAACTTCTCCTGACTATATATAGAATTTTTTTACAATAAATGTTGAAATCCAACACTGCTTGTCCATCTACGGGCCACCTTCAGAGAGTTGCTGATCAGTAAAGAAAACAGTTTATTTAAAAAAAGTGACACGACATCCATTTTCCATCCAAAACCACTTCTTGTTGTGTTGGAAGAGTGCAACATCTACTACCTCTCAGAAAGCTAATAGCTTTCAGAAACATCTGGTCATCAGCTCTACCATAAGAAGCTTCCCTTGGGCGGGTTCCTCAGAGCTTTTGCCAGTCATTATTACAATGCACACGTTATTGTTTGGTCTCTCAGTGGCATAACCTAACACTTGCTCAGGTTTTGAAGGGGAGGGTATTAAGTTAAATAGAAGCAGGGGAGATGTACAGTCCTTGCTTCATGCTGGCCTATTGCTTCCTTTTGTTAAAAACAAAGGCCGAATAAAAAATATAACAAAGTTCAGAAACACAACTACCATTCATAAAACAATGTTATTTGCACAAATTTCCTTATAATGCAAATTACAGAAGCTTGGCATGCTGTCGAACTGGTGACTGCCTTCCATTCTTTCGATGATTGGAACAGAATGTGCTGTTTTTATAAATAAGACAGAGCTTTATTTACAAGATGGGCGTAAACTGCCATTAACCACTTGCTGCCGGATGGATTTTTCTTAAGCAAGACAAGATGCCGGCTCTTTTTAAAGATTTTCCGTTTTCAAAGTTCTTCAAAAATTCATCATTTCATTTTATGGCCGTTTATACCAAAATGAAGGACTCTTTGGGCACTATTCTAAAGCTGACAGGTAAAATTCATTGACTCCTGAATATTTCAGCCCAGCCTGCAGCCTTGGAAAAAGAGCCCAGATTGTGCGGCGTTACGTATGATTCTTTTGTTCCCGAAACCAGCACAGTGCACTGCTGACCTCTTTTCAATAGGGGCCAGATTAGCGTGCAGTGGTGCTGTGTGGCTTACGCTGCAGTGGTGGAGAGCTTTTGTCCTCGGTGGTAATCCGCTCGCTCTAAATGCCTCAAACCGTGGTATTCTGTTTCAGAACAAGGCTGTATTATCTCCACTATTGACAGCCAAAAAATGTCGGTAATGCCCAGCAGCTCAGTCTTTTGTGCTGAGCACCGTCTTTTGTTATAAGGCCCAACTCTTTTGTCCCAGTTCCAGGCTCCCAGGCTCTGCACATAAAGCCTATGTACTCGAAAACGGGTCGCCCGGCAGGAAGTGGTTAAGTGATACCTAAAGTGCATATTCAGCAGACTTGGTACACTGCATATCAGTATCAAATATTGTTACCAGGGCAACGGCCTCATCAAGGACATGCTCAGATATCAAAGGTTTTGATTAATGTGAACAAAACAATTGCAGTAGGGGAGTGTTCCTTCAGAACGGTCTATGCACAAAGCGGACCATTCCCTCTGATACGCAAACATCCCCATTGGAATGCCAGGGTTCTAGTTGGAATAGTCCGACAACTACCAATGTTCCTAACTTTTTGAGAGCATCCTATAAAACAGGGTAAATGTGTACTACTCGTAACAGCTTCCATGCACAATTGAACCTAGAATGACTGTCGGTACATAGGGTAATTCAGCCACAGACTTCCAGTGCATTCTGCCGAGGAATATTTTGCTTATGGTTTGAAGTGGACTCATATAATGACACATGAGGAGCATTTCTCCTGAGGTCGTGTTGAAGTAAAACACAAGCAGTGTATTGTTGAAGTACAATTGCCATCCGCTGCTTGCATCAGCTGGCTGGCATCAGCTTGATGCAAGCCTAGAAATGGAAAAATAATTTAACAGTAACTCACATTTACAGTGTCTTTGTATATATTAACACTTTTCAAATTTATTAGGCAATGCCAAAACACAGAACAGCATTTCTGACTCGAAATCATAACCTGTGCGCTCTTGGGTGCTCTTTTTGACAAAACTCATCAAAAACCTGTCTGGCTGTTCTACCCTGTGCAATCTGAGACCAAACAAAAAACAAACCATAACTCTTTGATTAGTTACTTAGTGATAACAAAATTATACAAAACATGATACATCCGGAGGGCATCATAACAAAACAGTCCTAGCCAACACACGGACGGGAAAGAAGTATACTGGAGTAGGGACACTGTGTGCACAAACGCACACACACAATCTGATGGAACTTTCCAAACTTAAAGAGAGGTGGCATTTGAGGTTTAGGCCAGACTCCCCTTTCTCAGGACTGACCATATTTCTTTGTCCTGTTTTGCGTCGCACAACTTTGTGCCCGCGGCAAACAGGGGGTGGATGGTGGGGGGGGGTTTCAACGCTTGCTCTTGCTTTTGCTCTCTGTGTGCTTGGTGCCGCCGGCAGTGCCGGCGTTCCCCTGAGCGGCGACCTGTGACGTCGTCGACTTCTGCTTCAGCATGGTCCAGTCAAAGGTGTAATCGTACTGGTGGTTTAAGGTGCGGAACAGGATGCGGAAAAGCTGCCGTAGGTACATGTAGTCTGGCCCCTCGTCAAAGCGCAACCCACGTGCATAGTTGAGGTACATGGCAAACTCTGCCGGAAAGCCCTGAAGAGGTAAAAACCAATATTTCATTAAAAGTAAAAAAAAATCTGTGTGAGAAATTCAGTGACAGTCACTTGGTTAAGAGCTGATCTGCATCATACTGTAACTACAAGTACACTGTAGATACAACCTTTGTTAACAACGGCAAACCTCAATGACAGTTTCAAGGCAAATGGCAGATTGATCAATATTCTAAGTTCCTAGCCATCTACTAATCCAATTACTTAAGGACATATTTAGTTACTTTAAAAAAGGATAATTCATAGCCTGGATTGTGCTGACAGAGGGTTGAATGGGAAATTGTGGCTTCTTCTCCCACTGAAGCACGGACTCCCGGTAAGCGGGACTACTTTCGTTTCGAGTGAGAACCTTGCAAGCCTGAAAATGTTCACTGCATTGGACTGAGTAGTTGGTGCTTTGATAGTTTATGCATCATTTTAATTCAGGCAGGATATACAACTTTTCCTAGTGTCAAGGCCACAAAATGCTCACATTCTGGAGAAACAAGACGGCTGCCAACCACTAAAAATCTAAACTCAGACCCGAGTTTATTAACATATTGTGACTTTGCCTGTAATTACAAATTACAGGTCCTACATTTATTTCCAGGACTGACTGTAGAAATTCTTCTGTAGATCAAGTATTTGAGACTTGTTGCTTCCAACTTGTGGGAGAGGGGAGGGCTGGATTCCACTCAAACCCCCTTCCCCCAAAACTTAAAGGTCTATTTCAGATTGAGGAAGTTTGGAAGGGAAGATAAAAACTGCCTCGGCTTCCTCCTGTCAGGTCAAAATGAAAAAGTACCCTTGTGGTCATGATCTCCAATCTCAAAACTTTTACCTTGCTCCTGAGCAGCTTTGTTTCTGTCCGATTTTGTACTGTTGTCTATGAGCGCATATTTAGTGCTCTGGAACCTAATCTTACCTTACACAGCACCTCCACAGGCGTGGACATTTTCTTCTCGCTGATCTTCTCGTACTTCTGTTTCTTGGTGGCAGCTTTCAGACCCTGCCATGGTAGACTGGTCCTGTTGAAGTACATCAGCACGTAGCCCAGAGACTCCATGTCATCCCGTCGACTAAGGTAGAAAAAAACAAAAAAGGGGGGAGGTCAGGTTGGCATGGTGGCTCTTTTTCCCAGGCCCAGGTTCAACCTAGGTTCCACAGAGGTGAACATGTGGGCTGGGTTTCCATCCCCTACTTAATTCTGTGGGTTTTCCGTAGGATATTTATCTGGGGTTTTCCCTCCCACCAGTAAACTGGGCATTTCTTCACGGTCCTGTTTGTTTATTATCCTGTCACTGGCTGAATGACTAACATAAAATAAATACAAACAAACAAACACAGAATTTGGAAAAGTTTTGAAACTGGTCTTGTGATTTACATCTGGCCTCTGAAAGCTGAAACATACGGAATAATTCAACTTTTGACGTGCAAGTAGAAACATACATACAGGACACGCCACTGGCAATGTGCAGGTGGAACCATGATTGGGGAAAACCAAGGGCACACAGCAACAAGGCATTTCACTTTCAATTATTGGTTTTTAAGAACTTGATAGCTAACCAAAAATTGCACCAACTCAAGCAAATTCCTGCTGAAGGCTGCAGGATGAATCCCCTCCCCCACCGGGAAAAAAATCTGAACAAAGGCGTCTCTCCATACGCATGTACATATGTTTTTTGGTTGCATTGCGTACACGATGCGTTCATGAGTTTCACTTTCACAGACACAAAAATTGACTCCAATAACATAACACGTGTGTGTGCTGCGTTCAGCCGTCAAAATCGCCCTAGGAACGCGCATGTGGAAAAGTGCCTTTTATCATTTGGTTAGTAAGGCTATTACTGCAGACTGTAACAGATTTTTCTATTAATTCATAGTGATTCAGATCACGTAATTTCATAGCTACATGTACATGTACCCAACATGAAATGTCCAAAATATCATAAGAATACATGTAGGTTGCAGTCTTAATGGTTTTGACAAGATGAACTTTGCCAAATACTGGAAGTACAAGAATTACTGTCATTTCATGTGACCCTAATCCCTTTGTGGAACTAGAAGCAACATTCTTAGAAATACAAAAAATTATCAAAATGTATACTTTCATGTTCCAATATTGAGTAAATAAATTTGGTTCACAGTGATTTCGTGCCACTTCCTAGTATTTTCCAACTTTGCACTCTTTCACTTGGACAGGAAGTCAACTCAACTTTAACATCACAGGATTTGATGTTTGCAGGATGCACACCCAGAAACTGTAGAACTAGTAAAATGAGAAAACCACCCTTCCTGTTCATGCTGGAAAAGCTGTGTATAACATGTCCCCAACGGCTGGATATGAATCAGTTTTTTATAGTGATTCATGAGACGTGGGCACAATGCATGAATCATGATGGTTTCTATTTTTTTTCACCATCGAGAAGCAGCAACGATCACAGTTCAGATACAATTGGACAAGACTATGCAGAAACCCCGTTGAGTGGAAACCAAACCTCTGAGCCCAACAATGACCCCCGACTGTGACATATATGCACTGGCCATATCAGTTTCTGTGGGTGTCCATCTTCCATACCGATAGTATCATTCTTTAATTCTGTCGAATGAGTGTGGGTAAGGTATGTACACATGCATAATTTCCACTTGGAAGACAGCCAGGGACAGGAGGCTTGATCTTCTTTGTGAAAACTGCACATGACTTATCGTATGCCATGAAAGAAGATTCCAAAGATTGACAAGTGCACACTAGGGGTGTCTTGGCGTGCATGTGGGTTGAGGTTTTGCCAAAATTCTACCCCACATTGTACCTATGTTTACTTCCCTTATTAGGAAGGGTTCAAATTGGCTGGGAACAGTTTATCATTCTGGTAGAGGATTTTTGTGATTTTTTTGTAGAACATCAGCTACCTTTACCATTTTATTTTTGCAACCAGATTTCTAATCTTACATGAAAAATCTTTCCCAATAAATATGGAGTATCAAATGGCATCCAGCTAGACTGAGTGACAAAGCAGGCAATTTCCGGCCCCACGGATCAGGGTATTGGGCATTCTGTCATCTCCCAAGGAAATGAACAGCTCGGGGAAATTGAGACAGGCATAATTCTACGAAAGTTAGGATCACGGACGTCTTCCTGCTTCCTGACGCCACACTGAGTAACAACAGAATTAATGACAACTATACAATTTACATAAGGCATGTTCTTCATAAAACGGACCAAAATGCAACCTGATTACAATATGTTTGTTGCGAAGGTTATATTTGACAGAATTTTGATCACGTTCGATAATTTTGACAAAAAGTGCATAAAGTTCAAGAATGCCGAAAATGCTGTCACATGTTGTGCTTGAAAATTCCATGCGCGATTTTCATTTTGCCGGTTATTTTGGAGATAACCCCGCTGAAAATAAAATTAAAATTAACAACTCTGAGCATTAGATTTTCATCATGAATCGTATTTTATGTCTCAAACGTTATTGTTTTGTGAACATTATTCAGAATGATGGATTTTCTTTTGAGAAAAATTGTTACGAAGAGAAAAATCGCGGAGTGTCGCCATTTAATGGAGGGGTTCATGAATATCAAATAAAAAAAAATTAAATTAAAATTAACAACTCTGAGCATTAGATTTTCATCATGAATCGTATTTTATGTCTCAAACGTTATTGTTTTGTGAACATTATTCAGAATGGATTTTCTTTTGAGAAAAATTGTTACGAAGAGAAAAATCGCGGAGTGTCGCCATTTAATGGAGGGGTTCATGAATATCAAATAAAAAAGAGGCCGCACTATCTGGGTTGATGTCAAAGGTCAAACAGGCCATGATGCAGCAAAATGTTTCTCTTACGTCACCGCGAGAGATTGATGGAAGCTGCAAAATCGCCACAATCGGTATTTTGGACTTCGGTTTTCGGGAACATACTTGAAGAAAATGTGATCGGTCCAGTCGTAAAAGGATGATGGTTTGGCGGTGCTTTTTTGCACTCTTTTTTAAAGCTTGTGTTGTACATCGATATATGGATTTTACTCGCTTTTTTTGCTGTCGATTTTTTTGACACTAATGACAGAATCGAACGGCATTTGTGACTGCCGACTTTGGGACCCGATTAATTGTGAGAGGTACTTTTTTTATTTAGTGATTATGGTTTTAATATGGTAAATATTATCACCTTTCACCACATACAAATCTGTGTAAAATAACCTCGGGGATTATCACTCCTCAGTAAATTCTGTTTGCTCGGTTTTTAACAGGGAGTTCATGTCCCTCAAAATTGCTAACGTTCGAGACTTTAATTAATTAACTCCAATTAAGTTGAAAGGTCATCATTGTTCCAGATATATCAGCCATGACTTCCCTCATTACATCAAACATTATAAATGCTGTGCTGTGCACTTCAGGAAAAATGAACCCCCAAAGTTGAACATTATCTAATGGTCCATATTTTGAGGAACTTGCCATAAATGAATGTGCGTCTTACTACTCTGCTGCAATATTTTGGAAGGAAAACAACCCTTAAAATGGAGCCTGAGGAGACCCTAAGGAAAGTTTTGGTCCTCGGGGATCTTAGACTGCTACCCATCTGAATAACACAAAGCAGTGTGATTTACATGTACCTCTGCTCAATACCCAGATGTGCATTAATACTGGCGTATCTTGCTGTGCCTGTTAGGTTCTTGTCTTCCCTGTACTGGATGTGAACCTTCGTCCGTCCGTCCCGGTACTTCTTGGCCAGCCCAAAGTCTATCACAAATAACTGTCAGGGAGAAATACATGTACATTAACTAGTTAACTAAAAAAAGCAAGTTTACTGATAATAAACTCACGTCCCAGATGATTTGAGAGGACAAAGGTAGAATTTCTAATAAATACAGTAATAGCACAGTGACACTCGGTGGTAGTAATACACTTCAGTGTAGTGTGGTGTACAGAGGTGATAGAGTTTTGTATGCATGATACCAAAAGCCTTGTATTACTTCAGCCTTTTCTTGCATCTGCTGGGCAAAAAGGTGCGACAAAAAGAGTGAAAGACTTAGAGAAGCAAATGGGTACCAGCAACGGAACTTTTCGTCTTGCTTTTGGCTGGTTTTGGGCCAGTTAAGGTGGGTACATGTACTTATACATGTATGTTGAACTGACTGAAGACAGGTACATGTAACACAGGGGCAATCTTATTCTACCTGATTGCAGTGTCTCCCAATGCCCATGAGGAAGTTATCGGGCTTGATGTCTCGGTGGATGAAATTCTTTCCGTGGACATACTCAATACGGCTGATCATCTGTGGGCAATCATTGCAAATTTAGAGTTCCCTTTTCATTTTGAAAACACAACCAATCCCTTCCACACTTGATCTGTAGTTGTGCGGATAGCAGTAGTCATTTCACTTATTTTGGTGGGGATTGAAAATGTTGTGGAGACAGAGAGAATTATTCAAATAAGTCAATTTACGTTAATTTGGCTTTAATGTGACTGACAAAGAAATATCCCAAATTTGTCCCCATAACTGGCAAAAGGCCTTCCTGGTGCAGTCAACTCCCATAATAACAAAGGGACCAAGGACCAAATTACGTTTTATAACCAAGTCTTTGATATAAAAGGAGCAGACAAATGAAACAGAAAGCAAGAATTCAAGAAATTAGAATAATCAGAATTTGTTATTTATAACAGTAATTTGTAATACATATAACATTGTTCGTTATAATGACAGCTGACTGTACATGTATTTGCCTTCAGGATATCCTGGGAAAATGGTAAAAGCCACTAGCAACATCACTCAATTATGAAAAAGTGGGCCTAATCTCCATATTGTAGATATTGTTGGCATGGCCAGTTGCTCCCGTTACTTTCTTCAAGGGCCTTCTTTTGATCAGGCAACAACCCACCTGGTCAGCTAACATTAGGACCGTCTTCATGGTGAACCTGCGACTGCAGAAGTTGAAAAGGTCTTCCAAACTGGGACCCAGCAGGTCCATGACCAGGACATTGTAGTCTTTTTCTGTGCCAAACCATCTGCAAATACAAGGTGGATAGATGGAGAATTGCTGTCAATTATAATACAGGGGCTACACGTACCTGTACGTGTACATGTACATTAATGCAACTAAAATCTGTTATTACACAGAATTACAGGGTTACAAGAAGTAAACTGAAGTTGCTTTTGTGACAACACGGTAAATTCCCATTTAAACACAACACATGGCACCGTAGCTTAACCCCTGGTCTTTTCCACATGTAAATAAAACACTTCAGTACTGACACTGTACCGGTGCTTGCATGGAACAGTAACCCTGCAAGCACATACAGCATGTACATGTACTTATGAAAATGAAAAAGTTCTGTAGCCTGTTGCAGAGGAAGAGATAATTACCCTACTGAGCACTGTAGGCAATTGAATCTCAAAGTGCACATACGAGTACGGTACACAAAATTACAGAGGGAAAAATGTTTCTTGTACACCATGTAATTTCATTAATGAGTGGTATTTCACGTTGAATTTCTTCATTAATTACCAGTACTTCAGCCGAGTGCACCATGTACTGGTATAGACCAGAATATCTGATTGCACTGTTCAATGACCTTGGTGTTTAAATTAATCCAAACATGGGTTTGCACCGGGGAAATGTAAATCAATTTTGGATTTTTGCCCTGCCAGACATGTATTTTAACACTGCACAGTCAGTGCATTTCCCCGAAGGCCTGTGGAAAAAACAACAAGCTACTCCGGTGCGACTCAAACTCACCAACCTCCTGTGTATTAGTGCAGACGTCTTAAGCAGGAGGTCGTGGGTCCAAGTCCCACTCGAGTATGCTTGCAGTTTTTTTCACAGGCCTTCGGGGGCATGCACTGAGTGTGCAGTGTTGAAGTACGCGTCCAGCAGGGTAAAAATCCAAACTGACCTTTAGATTATTTTGAGAGATACTAAAGGGGGGACACCCCCTCAAAGTTGAAACCTGATTGTTTACAAGCTTCAGGATGTTCGGCAGAGATTCATAATTTACTTGGATAGGGCTTTTCACCTTGGATGACGCACAGTACCGGTATGTACCACACCATAGTAAAGGTGTTTGTTCATTGATACGTGTAGAAAAGGCCATGTACATGTACGTGTATTGGGACTTTACGGAATAAAAGGTACATACATGTATACCAATACATGTAGTTGAATAAAGTTTATGGCAGCTTGAAAATGAAGGTACAATGTGTACCGAACATGTATCAGGTAGACATACATGTATGCATTCTTGTTTGTTATGCATTTTAGAATCTCACATTTGCTAATAGCAAATGAAAGTGAGCAACATGTGCACGGATCTAAGTACATGTACATTTACGTACATGTAGATGTTTTCTTCAAATCATTCGGATACAATTACATAAATAAATATTTCCAATTTCAACAAAAATGTCAAGATAATCCATCAGTCATGTTCTACAAGTACAGCAGAATTTAGTGTTTTGATGAATGCTGATTAATTCGCGATTAACACACCACCAAATTCACTTCAGGTTTAGCAAGTGGAATCACAATTACTGGACAGAGAAACGATTCTGAAAATGCTACCGGTAGATGCACCAAACACAACCCAGTACACCGTACACTGTAAATCAGAAAACTAACGATACATACACTGTACATGCACAAGCATTAATATTTCCCATGCACTGCAGGAATAATGTATGTACATGTATGTACACATGTCTTGTTCACAAGCACTTGTTGACGAAATTCGGATACTGAAGACTAAAGAAATACATGACCTGATGGTTGGTTCTGTGTACATGTACATTATGGTATGATTACTGAGCCCTACGTGCCCAAGTACATTGTCTTACTTGTACATGTGTATGTACATGTGCTACACACCTGACATGTGGTGGCTCATGGTCTCGGTCAACCACCGTCTAATTGTTATTGTGAATTGCAGTCTCTATCTCCTGATTCAACGAAAGTTCATGGCCAGGCCAGATGCTAAGCTACATACACCTATAATGTAGCTCACCACATTGGTTTCAAAGTGATACAGTATAAGAAGGGAAACAAAAGACCACAGAATATCCACCACAGTAAATGTGTTGTCTGTGCACAGCACAATGCATTCACAAAGCACATGTTCATCATACATGTGCAGCTGAACCTTGTCCAAAAGACTTCCTCGGACTTACATGTAGCACATTACCTACATGTACATGTACCTTGTTCTTAAAAGGAACTCTCTATCATCAGGAACGAACACAATGAAGAACAAAGCGCTGGGACCCTACATGTAAAAGTGTCCTTGTGGTCTTACTAATGAGGCTTGACAGTAATCGTACACTGTATGTGTAGGTATAAGGTTTGTAACACAGACATACCCATCTAAGAAACAATGAGAAAACTTCTGTAGGCAGTGCTAAATTAAAAATATTTGTGGTCATGTACATTGTACAGGACAAAAGCCAGTGAAGAATTTTTTCCAATTTGATAGAAAACAAATGACAGACCAAGTCAAACGGTCAAGGCCAGATGTCTGTATTACCGGTACATGTACCAGTATAACAATGGGAATTCAGACATCATGTTAAATCTCGTTATTTAAGATGAGTAAGCAATGAACTACAGTAGTACATGTACATGTACAGTGTTACATGTACTGCAAGACCTGTACCACTGGATCTGATTGCATTGTTCAACGACCTTTGGATTATTTTGAGAGATACTGGTAATGCTCCAGGGCACCTCCCTCTCAAACTGAAACCTGATTGTTTACAACCCTAACTCTGGACAGGGAGTTCAGCAGAGGTTCACAATTTTCTTGGATAAAGCTGTTTCATTTGGATGATGTACATGTACATGTGTATGTACTGGTATGCATTCATATGCATACATGCATTCATGTACATGTTCTGTACAGCACATGCTGAACAGGATTTACTGAAATGCTTCCCTTCTTGTACTGGGTTATGTTTGTACAGATGTGCGCAGTACATTAATTTTACAAGTACGATACAATGCAAGTGTAGATTGCCTATGGTACAATTAGTCCCATTTGTAAAACAATGGTTACTGCAGTTCAAGGATTGTGAAAAAATTCAGGAATATTTTTGCGAAAATCTTTACCAGTGCATAATGTACCGGTACATGTATTTTGCTGAATGAATAATGGGTCACAAAGAGACAAAAGTCTTGATGGAGAGTAAAAACTATTGTGGAAAAATTGCATTTGAAGTTGGTCTCATTTTCAGCTGCATACTTCCCCAGTATTTAGCACTCCTTTTGACTTAACCAATACTACTGTACCTACATGTACATACACGTACATGTACATTCACCCTGTATGTACATGTACATGTACTTCATGAAAGAATGGTTCTTAAATAACACAAAAATATAAAGTAATATTTATACAAATCAATTAAAACTGTTTATTTTGTAAACCAATCATACATTTTTGACAAAAAACAAGGAAATTCCAATCATTAAAAGACTCTGTACATGTGTCTTTTCAATATTTAATGGCATGACTGTGAAGGGAAAAACAAAGAAATCAGTTGATCTGAGGAAAAGTTGTATGCCTAGTCAACAAACAAGTTTGGCTAATATGAGTACATGAACATGTCATGTACCGGTATGTGTATAATAGCGCGCACAGTACTATATGTAGTACATCTACATGTACAGTATACCAGGGTACAGATGCATGTACATGTACATGTACTGTATGTACCGTACATGTACCTGCAGACCTATGCAAAATTGATACATTTATACATGTATTTCTGGAGTCAATATTGTCCCTTTGTGAAAATGGTGACAACAGCCCTCCCCTTTGCTTTCTGAACTTTCAATATTCAGTCCAGCAAACAAAACCTAACTGCATACAGTGCCTGTGCCATATGCTGTTGTACATGTACCCTGTACATGTCCACATATACATGTACCAAGCATTACATATTCTAAATCAGTGAATTACCTAACCACTATCTATTGTTGACTGCCCACTGCTGGAAAAGTGGACAGATAAGGGCTTGGTACTGTGTACCAGTACATGTACATTACACAGGTACATGCACAGTACACATTTACTTAAGCAATGTACCGTACATATAGGCCTACATGTACATGTACAGTGGAGGACAGTACATACATGTACATTGTACAACAGAAGCATATTGTACCCAGTACACGTACCGGTACACATGTACATGTATCTACATGTACACAGAATTTGAGGATGTGACACTGCTCAGATGGAATGACTGATCCTTAAGTTAAATGAGAGAAAAAAAAGGAATCTGATCAAGGCTGACGATAAACCTTTCAGAACAATTGTACACTGGTTTGTAGACTGTGTACACATGTACATGTTTTGGACCATACAATGTTGCACATTCCAGTCACACCGGATAATTTTCCAACTTGGTAACAAGATTTAATTTCATATGCACATAAAAAATTTCTGTCATGATTTTACCAATGGAGTGAATTTTTACATAAGTTATGTTTGCAAACATGATGTACAATGTATATGAACATGTACATGTACACGTAATGTATACAATGTACATTTTTAATCAGTCATAAATAAACAAACAAATTCTATGAACCTTTTGAAACCTTTCAAAAAATGATTCAATGAAAACTAGGCTAGTTTTGATTTCATCACCCACAGATTAAAAACACAAACAAAACAAAACCACAGTGGGATCAATTACACTGCACTGTACATGTACACCTGTCCAACAAAACACTGTCCAAGGAGGACTTTGTGATGAATCACACATGTATGACCTACTGGAACATGTGCAATAGGCATTAACAGCCAGACAACATCCTTGGCATGCAGAGACAGGACTGGTGGCTGGATGAGTCAATGACCACAGACTGCACACAGTGCAGGGGGAATCTTCCACTGCTAGGGTCACCCATGTACATGTACATGTATGCACAGTGAACATGTGCACTGCACCACACACATGCCAGTATACCGGTACATGTACAGTACATACGGGGAGGGGGATGTACATGTAAATTTATGTGTACATGTACATGTACTGTAGGATCCATAGACATGCAAGAGTAGGATACAGTACCGGGGTACATGAATACATGTCACTTATACCGTAGGCAAGAGTATGGGTACTTGCACCCCAGTAAACATGTATGAGCCACTGGCCTCATAATCAGCTGAGGATGACTCAGGCACCATTTCAGCAGAAAAGGCTTTTACACTGTGCCAAGAAATTCTGCTCACTTCCCTTGAAAAATGATGAGATCATCTACTGGGTCTGTGGATATACCGAATCGTACATGTACATACTGTACATGTACTAGTACACTGTACACGTACTAGTACACTGTACATGAAACGTGTAGAGTGGAATTCATGTACATACAATGTACATGGTACATGTCCGTGTCCATACAATGTACCGGGAACATGTGACCTACAGGTACAGCTGCACGTTATAACGTACATGTACAAGAAGTTGCTCCGACACATTGGGTGGAATGCTTCAGGTGCTGTGACTTTTCTGGGTTTAAATTATTAGCTAACATGGGGGCATGAGCCCTATCAATGATGACTTTATGTCTCTTTTCTCTCTTGGGAGGGTTAGACACCTTCAACTTTAGAAACCTACAATCTACAATTTTTGGGTCATTTGACCTCAAAATTGTGGATTAATCGTAAATCGTACATGTATGACATCCACAAAAAATCTTGTAAAATCACATCCCTGAAGATGTGCAGTGCACTTTTAACTACTGTATATGTACATACATGTATCAAGTTTGACAAGCTAGTTTTTAAATGAATTGTAATGATTATTAAAATAAATTAATACATGTAAAAACCTCGGTCAGTCTCCCTATTCAACGACGTGCAACTTGACCATGTATCAACATTTGATAATGCCAGCTGAGAAGTGATAATGCCCGTTGAGTAAATCATGTGCTGGCACCTGGACACAAGAGAGTCTGTGTGCACCCGACGTGCCATGTGTGCACCAAGTTCATTGAAAGGGATTCTGTTGGACAACTTTCAAAACGAATAAACCATACATGGACGGGGGTGTTCGGAAAATGAAAATAAAGTTTCAGAACAAAATCACTGGAAATCCATCATGTGTTGACTTTTTTGACTCTATGAACAAAAAGGTATTTATGAATGGGAATACACATGTACATGCGCTTGGCCAGTCTTAAACTAATGTTAAGACCTTGCACAGAACGATTGCTGATAATGCCCTCGCTGCATTAGTTGCGTCCATTCTCCTGAGCGACCATTCTCCAGCCAAGCACATACATGTACGTCTATTTAATTTATTCCCTTCACAAAAGAGGGTGTAAACAATTAGGGAATTTTCCAGGTACCAACACATTTCCATGAATGGAACACATGTATCAGTCCACTACTGGAACATTCATGACATCCTTGCGTAAGTCTTATATAGCTACAGTAGATACAGTGTATAGGTATACGAGAAATACTTCACAAGCAGTAATCAGTACATGTTAAAGGTTCATGTGCATGGTTGCAAAATTGGTAAAATCATAAAGAATATTATATGGAACTGCCAAATACTCCTTGAATGGAGAGCCTGCCTGGAGCGCCATCCCAGAGGACAGATTTGTTATTTAGATTTAATGACAATGAATGCACAAAACGTTTTCTCGAGCCTATCCTGGAGGAAAAGAAATGCTCTCCAACGTGACGTCATACGCAGGGGGTCTATTTCTTGAAAAAAAGTAGTACATGTACACATAAAACCAGCCAGAATGTTGTTGTTTTTGAGAAACAGAAATTTTGTTCTTTGCAAGCGATGGTCTGCCAACCATCGTTCACAAATTTTCATTCTAAATACCAATGTCTGTTGATGGGCGCCGATTTTGAGTGTGGTGTGTGCACTGAACTGAAAGAAGAGGAAAATAGTAAGTGTTAGGGAATCAAAAGAGAAAATGGTTTACTTTGAAAGTGACAAAAAGGGATTTTCTTAATGTGAAAATGGTGCGATCTCACTATCATCCCTGAAAGATAATGGTAGGGTCCAAGCTGTCAGTTGTGCGCGTACATGTACGTGCTTGGCTATTCATGGCTAGTGTTTCTGAGCTGTACAGCTAGAAGATTTTGTCCATAACAACTACAATTTCAAGGTTAACCCCCCCTTGTGTTCAAATAATATTATTTCCTCTGTGCCTATAAAATGTAATTATTTGAAGCATGCCGTTGTGCTCTGGCTGCATGTGTGTATGCTCCACAGAGCCACTTTCCCATGCTATAACCGGCTCGTGTTGACCGAACTGGACTTTCCATCTTGGCAAAAGTGCCTCAGCGAATTTTTCCAGGGGGAGAAGTTGGCCGGTACAAATGACCGCACGGCTCAGTAAAAGTAACCAACACGGAAGCTTCCTGGGATGTTCGTAATGGACTTAAGATGGGAAAAGTAACCATCGTTTCGATAAGTTTGACCCAAAACAAGTCCAGTACGGACAGGACTTATGTCTACAATGAACTGGTACCTTGTGTGTGGTATACCGGTGCCTCCCTGAAGAATTTTATACAGTTTGCTTTCATACAGAAGTTGTGGATGCCTTGCTTTCACTGCTTCAAGTTTCACTGCAACCTCCTGCAACAGACACAAAAAAGTCACGTAAGTGGGGGGTAACCATTATCAAAGAGAACAAAAATACTAAATAACTATTAACTGCAGATATGGCCATGCTGCATGTGCGGCCTGCTGGTGAATTTTACTGACCAATCTTTTCCCTACCACAGATTTGTGCTTTGTAATCTGAAATGTGACCGCAAAATGGTGCTTAATGTAAGAAACCTGGGTTGGAAAAGTCATTTTTGACTGATAAATAAGTTGTAAGAAACTTTGAAAACGAGTGGAAAAATGCAGGTGTTTTAAGAGTAATGACTGCCTTAACTCTAAAAGAAATACAAGACTAAAACAGAACCCAGAGTTTCATTCACAGACATCACTTGGCACCCTTGGTACTTGTCAGTTGTCAGCATAACAGCCAGTGCAGGACAATTTAGTAATGGCAAACGGAGGGAGCGAAGCGACTGGAGTCATGTGAGTCACAGTCAGGGCCCTAAAGAGGACTCTAGATTGCTTTTTCAGTGAGTTTTTCTTTCAAAATTGATTAAAAGTTCAATTTTTTTAATGACTTCCAGGTAAAACTACGGGTATGAAATTTTCATAGTGACTAATGTTTTTTCTGGGATTTTTAAGGATTTTTGAGCCGGTCAGCGGGCTGTTTCATCAAGCTTAGTGCCCGACGGTAGAACACTGTGAAAGAGACCTCTGACCAGTGCGAACTCGCGTAGCAATAACACTGGTACTAATAATACAATGTACATGTACATGTACTGATATGTATACAAACACTACGAGGGCTGTGAGACTGGTCTGAAAACTTTTTTTCCAGTAAATATGTCAATATTTTACCTGCAAAATCAGACATTTTAGGGGTTTTTTTGTACTAGTAGGCCTAGTAAGTCGGCCAAAAAACCCCCTAAAATGTCTGATTAAAAAATGTCTGATTAAAAGTACTAGGCCTACTGTTAGTTTTAGTAGGAATAGAAGTACAAAGCGTAAATCTGAAACAAAAACCGATTTGGCTCAATAATTAAACAACTTCGAAAATGGTAGTAGCCTAGGCCTAAAGGCACAAAATTCCAAACTTTACCTCCCCGTTTGTTATGTTGATGCCCAAATAAATATCACCGAACGACCCGCTGCCGATTTTCCTCACTAGTTTGTACTTTCCACCGACCATGAATTCTGAGCTGGATTTCGCACTCGTCGTTGTCATGGTGGCAGTCACAGTTCGCCCAGGAATGGAGAGAAAGTCGGCCAATACGTCAGTTTGGGAAAGAGTTCTCCTGGAGTTTAAAAAGGGGGAAATTCGGGACGTGACTCACTGCGGAGTCGTCTGCTCCTTCGCCATCTTTAGCTTACTGTTGTTTGCTACATACACTGCACTGCACTGCGGTGTTACCGTGTGGGTACTGTGTCTATGACTTGCATGCATTGGAAACCGTTGCATTGACGATAACTGGCCGGACAGCTGTGATATGATAATGCAACATATAGACATAATGCAGAGAGAGCGCGCCTTGCATTGTGGGAGTCTGCTGGGCTGGCCGCGCCGGCCGAAACTCTTCCCCTTGTTACTAGGGGCAACTAAATTTGCATATGGGAACGCCCAAACCCGCTTCTTGTCGATATATCCACGGTCACGCGTCAAAAGGCGCTGGTTATGGGTACGGGTGCACTGAACCAATTCAAGCTCCATTGAAAATAGTGTAAAATCAACCAAGTTTGGAGCCCCATGGCAGGCAACTGAAGTCCCTGACACCTCTCAAACAAAAAACAATGTGTTGTTTGGTCTTTCAGATTTCATTTGATTTTCAATTTTTAGTTGGTTAACCAATTAATGTTTTTATTATCCGCCCAAAACAAACTCACACCCCCCCAAAAGTGAATGTTGCCAAGCCTTCCCAGCGGCCATTTTTCAAATGACATCCCTCACCTTCCTAGGGGTACAGTCCACTAATTCAAG